TGGTGCTACTTTAGTTGTCTCCTTTAAAGAGGATGTAAACTAGTTTGTTTCAGGACTTATTACTCAATGGTACAGATTTCACACCTGATTTTTATAAGCTAACAATTTCTCTCTGAACTTAAAGCTTAGTAAACTGTATCTTGTACAATCACATGTAATTACACATGATGTGGTACATGTGTGATATATATTTTAATTTATTGCAATTAGTTTGACTTTTTTGTATTATTTGTATGTTATCCTTTTAACAGTTTCAAATATATTTGTCCTTATTGTACACTTTTTAACTAAACTTCACCTGCCAGTGTTTCTGATGACCTCCTCCTCTTTTCTTTTAGGAATAGCTGCTACATTTCTGTGCCGTCTGTACAGCTGTCACTTTCCTGTTATTTTTGCTGTCTGTCAACATTAAAAGTTATTAAAGTTTTTTTGTTGTCATGCAACCCAAATGATCTGTTTTGATTCCTGCTTGTATCAATCTAAGCCACCCAAAAGGGGCAGTTATTTCTGTGTTACACTCTCACAGCTCGAACAATGCCAATTTGCTTTCTTTGCTGTGCAAAGTTCTTTTTGTGGACATTTTTCTTGTTTTTTAAATTTGCTGTTTAATATAGTGAAAGTTGAAATATTATAATCAAGCCATATTTTTAATTATATTGGAAACAGTCACCAGACAAGTAGATTTAATATCTGAAGCATCCAACTGCTGGAAAAAATATTCTGGGAGTCAGTACATATCCAAAGAGTAAAGGGCTCATTTTTGCACCACTTCTAGATTTTAAGGGTGAATATTAGGAGCCAAGAAATTAGGTCAAAGAGCTAGATTCACTCAGAGATGGAGAAAGATGTAATAACTGCTCAGTGACACTTAATATACTGCAGATTTAAAGATTACATGAAATGTCTTCATTTTAATCACATATTGGATCTGTATATGATGTGTGAACATAAATGCAAACAAATGTTGCATGAACAGCAGGATAAACAGGTTAGCTTGCAGTAATGTGGTGAATTCACGCGTTGGACTGATACACACAGTGGCTGTAGTTTATTATTATTATAGATTATTTTACAGGTAATGATGCTTAGATCCACTGACTGAATTCAGTAATTATACCAACTTTATACTGTCAGTGTAAAGACAATATACAGCCTACAGTTAGTGTAGGTAATGGGACACAGCCGAGATTGCTGTGAAACATCTGCTTACATCCTGTTGAATTCAGTTGTGCACTTCCACAATGAGCAGCAGGTCAGCTGATTACAACCTGTACAATATGAAAATCTACGGGAGCTTATATTAGAAATTATTGTGAGCTTTTAGGATTTTCCCCATGCTGAGCCACTACAACAGATCTTAGTGTTCCTCCACCTGAATCTCCGTTTAGGTGTGGAGGCAAAGTCACCCTCTGTTTCTTTCTCTTTTATTGCTTATGTCCTAAACAGTAACAGTATCAAGCTGAGTACATTCATTAGAATTAGAATTTAGATTTAAATAACATTTGTATTCTCGTGTACTAATATTTTTGTATTACATTATTAAAGGAGACGGTTTAGTTACCTGTGCACAAAAATAGATGGTAGAATTGTCCTACTTTATGCTTTCTGACTTTTTTTGACTGTACTTTTTCACTTTTATTTGATTCAAACCTGCCTTTGTTCTCTCCGTGTCTTGTAGTTGTATATGAAAATGTAAGCTGGATAAAGCTCCACCAGAAAAATCCTTTCAGTCCATCTCCAAGTATTTGAATAATTAATTGGTGCTTTGTTGTAATGCACAAAAGGTCTGTATTACAGACACTAGCAATTAAAAGACTTATCTTCAAGATACAAAAGTAAAACAGCAGTTCTTTTGTCACGACCCAACTAAACCCAGATACAAGACACAAGTTTACTTACCTGGATAGTAAGGTACAGCAGACAGTTTGGATGGATCTACCTTTAGCTGAGTATATTTGTAATGTGTTGCAAAAGTTAAACCCAAGTGGAGACTTCTTAAACAAAAGACACACCTTTGGTAGAAAGTCCAGAAACCAATTAATCCAAAAGAAACTACAGAATCCAGGCAAGAACTCTCACAAGGAAGAGTAGAGAAATCTAAAGCTGCAAATTTACAGTCATGACTTAGAAAAGGTAAAACAACTGAAGTTTTTCGGTATACCGGTACTATAAAAGACACATCTCCTGGATGCACTGGTACGCATCTTCAGTGATGTATCCTGGGGTCATCAGGTGTTTCGGGTCTCATCATACACCCTCGCCCAGGCGACCCAGCCGGGGGTGATCATGCCCCGACTTGAGTACCAGTAGCTACCCACGGATCAGCCCTCTTGATCCACAGCCACCTTGTGGCTTTCTCTGCCACTTCACTCACAGCCTGGATGGCCCTCTTCTTGGCTGCCCCAGCCACGCCCAGCCGGCCTAGGACTTTGCAGAGTGATCGTCCTGCAAAGCCCCTACAACCCACTTCTATGGGCTGATGCACTCCTGCACTAGTTCCTGGTACTTTCCTCGTTTCCTTTCATTGGCCTCCTCGATCCGCTCTTCCCAGGGCACTGTGAGTTCCAGCATGATCAGCTGTTTTGAGGCCTCAGAAATAATGATCATGTCTGGCCGGAGGGATGTTTTTGCAATGTTCTGAGGGAACTTTAGCTGTTTAACCAGGTCAGCCTGTAGCTGCCAATCAGAGGCTGTGTTGAGGAGGCCAGTTGTCAAATGTGGGCGCACCTGGGGTTTCTCTCCAGCCTTAATGAAAGAGATTGCCTTCCTCGGAGCATGATGATGCTTGCAGGTGCTTATTGCTGAGGCAGTCTTTTCAGCAACTACTCTGAGCACGTGGTCGTTTTACTGTTGTGCAGTGTTAGTTATCCCAAGTTGTTAAAGAAACAAAAACAAAAGTGTACACACCAAAATAATGTTTGTAGATCTCACAAATGGGGAAAATAAACCCACTTTCCACCGTCCACAGCTGTATCCTTTCTCACGCCGTTTGCTTTTCTGTTGGAGCACACACAAAGGGACTCTCCTATACATGCAGTTACCACATAAACATACAAAAATCAATAAACTTCAACATAATGAATCCCTTTCAAATTAAGAGACTCCTTTATATGAATGCATTCAGCAGTAATTTCACACCAGTGCTGAATAAAATCTTCTAATTACTAATGTTCAAAACTTTGTTTTGTGGCAACTTCTTTTACCCAGAATTGAGTTACACTGATGGAAAAATGTCTGTCACAGCAGGCGATATATGATATTTGAGTGAAGATGAGGCTAAAATCTCTTAAAGACGCAACGCTAAAGGTTTGACAAGTTTATTGCAGGCTTGAAGGGCAACAGCGAGTTATGCAAGGCAGTTATTTCAGAGTTGAGGTGTAGAGGGGGCATGCAGGATTTCAGCAGGTTTGACTACACAAGAAGAAACTTTAGAGATTGTTACAGAATTGTCTCTCAGGACTGGAGGCGCATGCACAAACAATAACAGCATAAACCACAAACATCGGCACTACAGTGCAAAGTGCAACAACTGAGGGAGCTTAGTAGGAGGAAGGTCACGCGCTGCACCACACAGGTGAGTTCATTTCCAACAGCTTCCAGGTGTGAAGTATAGAGGACCCCCACTTATGAAACAAATTAGCAGAACTAGTACACCCACACAGATACTCACACAGATATGAAATGTAGCACTAAATAGAACACCTGTGCTAAGGTGTTTCATGTTTTTCACACGCAATATTTTTCTTTTTAAAACATTTTTACTTGTTTAATTTTAATTAAGCATTTTGTGGGTTATGGTGTATTGAAAAGCTGTGAAGTAAGGGCACAGGAAAAAAAGAAACTTGCCACAAGGGGTCGCCACAGCGGGTGGCTCTGCATGTTTGTTGGTGTTTTATGCAGGATGATCTGTTGATGCGACCCCAAAATGGGTTTGTGTTTTAAACGGAAATAATAATGATAATAAAAATATTATCATTATTATTTAAAGTACAAGCAGCAAAGATAAGGACCTGACTACTACTAATCAGAAGGTTTGTGGTCCCTGGTTGTTCCAGCCTACATATCAAATATTCTTGGGCAAGATACTAACCCCAAGTTGCTCTCTGATGCATCCATCCGAGTGTGAATATGTGTGAATGTATATTAGATAGAAGGTTCTGAGATGTAGAAAAAGTCCTTGTTATGGGCACGCCCTATGACATCAACGAGGTCTTTAGATTGAACTAACCAAGTATCATGTTGGTCCGATTAAATCATCAAGGCTTGAAAATAGCTAAAAATGTCCAAACTTACTCCCCTTTTGTGTACAGTATTTGAATAAATTTAATGGTAAAACATTGAAATTCGCCATGCTGGCTCAGGAACACCATCGGACAAAAACTCAGTTCTAAAAATAAAGTAACACCAACGAAGTCTTTCCTGAACAAATTTTAGATTACACCAGTCAACCAGTTGGAATTGGTGTCCCAAAGCGTAAAACACAATTTTCTGTTGCTGCTAGGTGGTGCTACGAATGATTAATACTGACTGATAATGATTAATACATATTGCCATCAAGATGCATTCAGGGTCCTTATCAAACACGAACACTTTCGAGCAGATGTCTTGAGACGTTAAACGCATGTACCAAATTTCATACAAGTAGCTCAAACTATGTTTTAACTTCATTAAAATACTAAAGCTGGTTTCTTCTAATTTTTGGAATTAGTTCTCCAGGATTCCTCTTCAAGGACATTTAAAGCTCTTCTTTCAGTGTCAGCTGTCTTTTGTTCTCTGTTGTTTCTCTCGCAAGATGATCCCACGCAGCTTTAATAATGTTCATGCCCGGGGTGTGGGGAAGGACAGTCGATGAATGATAGTGGGTATGTGTTTTCAATTTACTGCATTGCTGGTGTGTTCAGGATTACTGTCAAGCTGACAAATGAAGCCGTTACCAATAACGCGAAATTCCTTGTGTGTCCCATACCACTTGTGTGATTCTGATTCACGCGCCGCTGCAAAAATTCCCACAATCGTGAAAGCAGCAGAGATGATGCTGCCACAGATCCGTATTACCTCGCTAGCAGGTTGTAAGCTAACTGAATAGAGGCAGCAAAGTGCGAGCAGAAGGTGATGTCCCACCCTTTTTAACACAGGCTGAGCACTCCGTGGTTTTCATCGACTCTTCACAGGCAGGTCTAACTTCCGAACTTTGGCGACATGACGACGCGGTCGGAGAGAGAAAAAGCCCAGAAACTGAATGAGCAGCATCAGGCCATTCTGTCCAAACTGCTGAGAGAAGAGGATAACAAGTACTGTGCTGACTGTGAAGCTAAAGGTAAGCCCGGCAGCCTCTGCGGCTAACCTTGGTGTCACAGGTGTGTGCATGGCAAGATGTAACGAGGAGGGCACCTGTCCGTTAAAAGGCACAGCTAGCATCATAAATGTCATACAGCTAGCATCATAAATGTCATACAGCTAGCATCATATTGTAAGGTTATTCTGATGGGAGTCACTTGTGTGCAGCAATGCTTGCGTCCGACCTTTAGGTTTGATGCTTAATATGAATTGTGTAAACCTGACGAGTCCTCCCCGTTCATATCCATGTTATGAACAATGAGTCATGCTATGCTACTGGTTTCTTAATTACATTTAAGCCAAGTATAAATATTATTGAGCGACAGTTAATTAAAAATAACTGAACAACACACAACTTCCGCTTTGTTTTTTTTCTTTTAAAGTAAAGTCGTTATCCAGCGCTTTTATTATTTGTTTCGTTCCATAATAATAATAATAATAATCCTAAGATAAAATAAGAAAAGAAAATATATACAATATACAATAACACATACTCTAATACAAATACTTTAATGCAATTCAGTTGATTTGTAGTGAGAATGTATATGTTAGTATTGAGATTCAGCTACAAGCCAAGTTGTGATTTTGCAGTTTCACAAAACGGGCATCGCTTATAATTTTCTCTATTTTCCCTTTTCAATTTGTATTTCAGTTTTTGAAGTTTAGAAATCCACGCCTGGGCTTTTATTTTGAAGTCGAGTGGTTAATAGTTCCGGTCTTGTGTTGTGTAAGTGTGGCTAACTTGAGGCGGTTTTCGCCCGCAGGTATCGATGTCACGTCCTTGACTGGTTTATTTATGAGCGGAAAACGCGTGTCTCCCGTGTAGACTCCACTGACTAGAGGTGTCGTTTGCTCGCTGAATGCCGAGGAGAAAAGCACGTGAGCTCAGATACTGCTGCAGCGCACACCTTGCTTCTGGCTAGGCATGCATTCCTGCGAGGGAAGCCACCTCTCCAAACTCCATTCAGAAAATTGAAAGCTTAAAATTCCCTGGAGTCGAGTGTAAAATAGAGTGTGATGGAAGAGGTTTCATTAAACCTTAAGAGTCGCTCTTTAATTCGGCATAAACAACAACTGTAATGTATGATGTCAAAATTGCATGCATTTAGTATATATTATTAACAAAAAAACGTATAATTCTCACAGGACAGGATTTCCCATAGGCTTTCACTGTTACCTAAACACCCTAAGAGAAAGTCCAGCCCATATTTGCCAGTCAGTAAATGTCCAAGCATGGAAATTTCCAGCCTTTTCAGTGGTGATTGAACGGCTCTTGTTGGGGCTTCCTATGACTGAGATTAGATGCCTTTTGCGTCATCATGGTTCTTCTACCATCTGACATTTGTAATCCGTAGTAGCAGACCTCTGTGAGTCTCATTAATCCTGTTGCTGCTCCTTTGTTTCGTCATATCCTCCTCATCCTTCATGTTGAGCTAAATCTATTTCATGATTCTTCAATGGTGATCTCAGTAGTTGCCATCAGTGCACTATGGAAGGGAAATGTACCTTAACCTTAATTACCTCTGTTTGTGTAAGTGGACTAGTATGCAGTATTATTATTTTCTGTGATCATCCTTCCTCTGTGGAATAAGTTTTGGAAAGGTTTTATTTTGGGAAACCTCTGACCGAGGCATCTCACATCAGACTGGAAACAAACTGTGTAAGTGCTGTAAAACAAACTGTGTAAGTGCTGGTGTTTATTAAAGTGGGCCACAGGGATCCGGTCATGATGCTCTTTCGTAACTCTTGCCAAATTTGACCTTTATACTGGGCTAGAGGTTGGAAAGCAGCCATAATGTTTCTTGTAATGTGGCCCTATATATTATAGAATGTGAGGCCGGAAAACTTCAGTCAGTACTGGTCTCCCAGTTCATGAAGCAAACCAATGTACTGGAGTTTACAACAGAAGTGCTTATCTTACTTGTTTCTAATGCACTTATTCCCCTCCATTCCACCTGCTGAATCTCATTTTAACCCCTGCTTATGGAGGGACCAATATCCAAAATTAATAAACAATTGAAAATGTGACTCCAAAATATGTAAAATGTATTAAAGGGGGGAAAAAAAAACTTCACACAGTATCTTACCGATTTATGTTTTTGCATCTTTGGTCACGTGGCGGACCTGATTTTACTGCACCTGGCAAAAACAAAATAATAATTAAATAAATAACTGACTAAGAACTAAGACAAAACAAATGAGTCTGTAAAAGGATTTAAAAAGTGTAAAAGTTTTGTGTCTTATTTATTTATGTATTTATTGATGATTTGAGCAGTTTCGGTCCTCCACAGATTCTGGTCTATTACAGATATGTTTATCGACTGTATGCTGTTTGATATATGGCCATATGATTTTCTATCTTTCTTTTTTCTAAATTGCAGAACAAAATAAACCCTGTGAGTAATGGAGAAATGGTGCCAAAACAGGGTTTGTCCATTTATGGTTCTTCCAACTAAAATAAATAAATTTTTCCTCTTTGTGGGATATTTTTAGCAAGGGAAAGGGATGTGCCTGAATGCACCTGACAAGTAAATAGCAGGGTGTCGAAGTCAGCTGTGAGCTCTCCACATGGATTACCATTTTTGCAGCTGCTTAGCCTGAGTTCTGCTGTGCAGCCTCTGTGAACCTGGTATAGCAGCATACGAAACAGTCCTCTAGCTGCTGCAGAACAAAATAAGGACTACCGTGACAGTGATTGGACAGTGAAAGCCAGTCCAAATAAAGCTGCTGTGGTACCTGGAGGCAATGGAGAATGGCCTTGTTTGCAGTTCTGTGTTGTTTAATGTCAGCTAGTTTGTTTTGCACAGGATTTTTGGTGTTAATGTGTGTTTCCCATGTGAGTTGACTTATTTCGTTGTTCTTGTAAATCCAGCTTAAGCGTTTGTGTGTGTGTGTGTGTGTGTGTGTGTGTGTGTGAGTGAGAGAGAGAGAGAGGGAGACTGGGCTGCTGAATGCAGATTAATGAATTCAGCAGGCATTCATTATTTATAGTGTGGGTGTACTCTAACTTTTTTATTTGTTTTTGTCTGTGTCACTCCTACAAATCCCTATCCTTAGGTTTCTTAAATGCAAAGTGCTTATAAATCCAGGTCTTTGTTCTGAAATGCAGCAATTCTGTATACAGTGTGCTAAGAGGATGGGGTGAAGGCTTTGTTTTTATATTAAAGTACCTGTTTTATTTTTGCATGTTTAACTGGCAGAATTAATCAGAACATGACAAGTAGACCAGTGTTCCAGTGGGTCACTACTGAGTCCAAAAAAAAAAATCTGAAATTAAACCAGTTGAGGTGGTTGGGGCATCTGAGCAGGATGCCACGTTGGTGAGGTGTACTGGACGTGGTCTATCAGGAGGACACGCTGGATACAAATACACTGTATTGCCAAAAGTATTCACTCGCCCATCCAAATCATTGAATTCAGATGTTCCAAACACTTCCATGGACACAGGTGTATAAAATCAAGCGATTGTGACAGCAACTCAACCATGAAGTGCTAGAGCACCTTAAACCACAGAGTGGGTTAGCTGATGCTGAGGCACATGTTGCACAGAGGTCTCCAACTTTCTGCAGAGTCAATCGCTACAGACCTCCAGACTTCATGGGGCCTTCAGATTAGCTCAAGAACAGTGTGTAGGGAGCTTCATGGAATGGGTTTCCATGGCTGAGCAGCTGCATCCAAACCTTACGTGACCAAGCACAAAGGATCGGATGCAGTGGCGTAAAGCACGTTCCTAAAGTGACCAATTATACTTTACCAACCAGCAATCCGATGGACATGTCTGGGTTTGGTGGTGTCCAGGAGAGTGGTACTTATGGTTGTTGTGCTTAGTCTCTTAGTGTGAGGATCTCTTAATGTTTCAGCACACCAAGACATTTTGGACAACTTCATGCTACCAACTTTGTGGGAACAGTTTTGGGAAGGCTCCTTCCTGTTCCAGCATGGCTGTGCACCAGTGCACAAAGCCAGGTCCATAAAGGCAAGGATGAGCCAGTTTGGTGTAGAAGAATTTGACTGGCCTGCACAGAGTCCTCATCTCAACCTGACAGAACACCTTAGGGATGAATTTGAGTAGAGACTACAAGCCAGGACTTTTCGTCCAACATCAGTGTCTGACCTCATGAATGTGCTTGTGGAATGGTAAAAAACTTCCATAAACACACCCTAAAGCTTGTGGAAATTCTTCCAAGAGGCGTTGAAGCTATTATAGCTGCAAAGGGTGGGCTGACATCATATTAAACCCTATGGATTAAGAATGGGATGTCACTCAAATTCATATGTGTATGAAGACAGATGAGCAAATAATTTTGGCAATATAGTGTGTTGCCCAGCTGCCTTTCGACTTAGTCTACTTCCCCTGTGACCCAGACTTGGATAAGAATATAGATGGAAGGATGTATAAATGAGTGAATGGTAGTAGAAAGTTTCTCACGTCCCACATGAAGACGCAGTCGGCAACACTACCTAGAAAACTGTCCACTTTCAACAATAACTGATTCAGCCTGCAGTCACTACAGCACAGAACTGGCACCTGACTATAAAACTATATAAAGTCATAACATTTGACTGGTTCCTAGTGTGACAAGTCTTTCAGGTTGCTATGTTGAATATAATGCTTAGTAGTAACAGTAAGTGTTGAAACTTTAAATGGCACATAAACTGTAAGTCAACACACATTCCTTATTATAATGAACAAAACCCACACAGACTCATCATGTAGATAAAAACCAAATGTAGTTTATTTGTATGTTTCCCGCATACAAAATAAATGTGGTACACAAAAATCCTGGGGTCCGTCTCTGGTTGTTTCAGTCTGCTTTTCTCATTAAGCCACTGACTGCCCTTAAGTGTTCATTAAGCTTCATTATGTATGAGCAGCGGCCCTGCAGGGACATGCATGCAGCTCAACATGTATTACAGAGAAAGGAAATGAGTCATCCTAACAAAGAGTGGACCTTACAGCGATAAGCAGTGTTAGTTAGG